ACGGACCGAATCCTCCACTTCCATAGCAACCATCCGGCCTCCCATAAAGCCAGCTGCATTAAGACCTTGTTTAAACGGGTGCAATCGCACTGCAGCACCATGGAGTCTAAGGCAGAAGAAAGAAAACATCTATTCCGCATATGCCGGATGAATGGGTACCCCCTAAGGTTTATTAAGCGACACAGTATGGTATCAGACCCCCGAAACGGACAGCAAAGAGAGGAACCCCGGACACGAACCGTACGGGTGTCTCTACCGTACATTAGTAATGTGTCAGAAGCCACAGCCAGGCTTCTGGCACCCCACAATATACAGGTAGCCCACAAACCTACCCAGACCTTACGAGCTAAAGTGATGCGCCCCAAGGACCAGCTCCCTACCGCCGAGAGATCAGCTATAGTTTATAAGATCAACTGCACGGGGTGCCAGAGTAATTATGTAGGCGAGACCTCAAAAAGACTTAAGACTCGTCTACATGAGCATAGGTTGGCTATTAGACGAGGCGAACAACATTCGCAGATTTGGGCCCATGTAGCAGAATACGACCATTGCTTTGACTTTGAGAATGCCCAAATCTTGGCCAACGACACGACAAAAGGAGGTCGCCTACTGAAAGAGGCATGGTTTTCAGGAATGGAGTCCATCAATCGGCGCGTAGACTTGTGTGCAGCGCACCAAGCTCTGAAAATGTGGAGTGCCAGCAACCGTACTAACATGTGGGGGGGACCCAATCAAAAAACTTGTAATCAAAATACCACCCGGCCCCCCTCCCTGCGTAATTACACCAATGGAGCCTCTGTTGACAGCTCCTCCCTCCCGGATCGACAACAGACTAACTCCAGCGGACAACTGCGGCTAGGTTTGCCACGATCCGCCGGGAGCAGACTCTTTTTGGGACGGAATGGAGATGGAGTGGGGCTTGAGGAACCGGAAGGAAAACGGAATATAATAAAGTCTAACGAGGACGATGAGAAGGAGGATGAATCCCCCTTTGAGGATACTACCAGGCACATTATGATAACCCGGTCGCAGTCGAGCAGAGGAAGGCACCCCCCTCTGACATTCTCAACACAAAGCTGCGGAGTGAAACAGCAACTGCAATTAAAGGGGAAGAGCCCCGTACGGAGTGAGAATGGAGAATTGGGGATGAGTGGGAATGGTGCTTACCGACAATGGACGGAACAACAAGGCACTGACAATGGGACAATGGCAGAAAACATCTTGAGTGTGCGCAAGGGAGAGAGCGTGGAAACGAACAGTAGATCATTTAGGAGAACTCACGGGAAGGAGGAGGGGAGGAGGAATAGCATGGGTGGTGACTATGAGCCTGCGTTACAACCCCGAGGGATAGATAAACAAGATCAAAGTGGTCTTGGGGCTTGCAGGGATATTGGAAGCAATTTAAATAATTACCCACCCCCGCTCCCTAAGGGAAGCCGTGTGTGGGATGGTGGGGGAGTTATGAGCAGGGGAGACAAAAAGATCCTGACCCCCAACTCTGAAACAGCTAACGGAGTAACGTATGACAGAATGCAAATTAGCAATGGAAAGAGGATAGATGCTGATGTGGGGCGTGCGCTTGAGACTCAACTCGATCAGCTGGGGCCGATGACACGCTCCAAGAGCCGGAAACAGGCATTAAACAACTGTATATAAGACTTCCCCCGGCATTTGCCTTTTAACCCTGACGATGTCAAATGTATTTGACAAAAGCTTGGTGGATTAAATTCTATTTTTGATAGATATTCTCTTGGTGATCATTATTTTGACTATATATATATATATATATATATATATATATATATATATATATATATATATATATATATATATATATATTACAGGTGTGGAACCTTTATACATCTTCATATATCTTCAGACTATGTTGAGCTAAAGGAGAATTTGCAGAATATTTGGTGTGTAATAGTAGTAGTAGCTGTAGTGAGGCTGTGAATGTAAAACTCCAAGAAGGTTTTCAGATGGTTCAAGCTTCCCCCGCAGCCACTGAAGTTCCTTGGGTAATTTTGGTTCAGTCGCTGTCTCTCAGCCAGATCAATCTCAGAGTTATTGTTGCAGGGGAAAATGAGAGAGAGGAATGTTATGTACTCTATCCTGGGCATCTGAAGGAAAGTTGGTGCATAAATAAATAAGCATAAGGCAGTGTCTGTGTGACAAATAGCCAACACAATCTCTCACAGACATTTTGGTTGCAATCCTCTCACCACTTATTTTGGAATTAAATGGCTTAAGGATTGCAATCTTTGTTTTGCATTGTAAGGGAGAAAAACCCAGCTGCAGTGTATCCTCCAGCACCTTGTATTTTTGTGGTTTCTGTATCTGCTTCCCTGCAAGTGTCCAAATTATTTGACAAAAACAGTGTTCTCTTTTGGTTGAAAAACATTTGAACTGCACTTGAAATTCTCCAGGTTTGTTGACATTTTGCTCAGACTTATTATCTTTTACTGTCCAGAATGATGCTTGGACGATAACCAGACACAGAGAGATTTATTCCTATGAAACTGGTTTACTGCTGGCTTCAGCACCTCTCATGGGTCACAGGTCAGAGGGGAGAAGAGGGTTGGGGTATTCATTCTAGACTAAGGCCTATAATCTGGATCTGTGATCAGCTACTAATTTTTTTTTAGTGGAGAAAACCATATTTAAACCCAATCATTGATTGAAAGGTCAAGAACATTATCTTTACCTCATTCATTCTGGCAGATCACAAAGAGTTGGGTTTTTTTAACCATTTCCTACCAGGAGAGCAACAATTGGCAGGTTTCTCTGTTTTGTGCAGTTCAATTTAGGGCTGAGGAAAAGTTTGCATGTGTGTGTATTTGGCTACATTTTGACTAGTTTGCATGGGAGGGGGAAAAAAATCCTAAGGTGATTTTACGCCATTGGGGTTGTGTTGAAAAACAGATGGAGTCCGATTGCCTATACCTCATCTGTTTAATTATTTCTGACATTTGTTTTTGGTTTGTCAAATTGGTGTCATTTTTAGTCTCTCAGTGTGCTGTCTCCTTTTTATGTTAGGTTCCTATTATCCCTAGAAGTAAGTAGAAGCTAAATCCGAGCATGAGAACATTAGATTCCCTTATTCTATATTGTCCACTGTAGCCATTTTGAGACAAAAGGCATCCTTTCCATTGTAAGTAGGAAAAGAATTAGCCAGGCTTTTTATTCTGCCCTCCTCTATCTACAGTGCCAGCTAGCACAGCTAAGTGAAATGTAGGGGTAGACTGTCTCATGCCAAGTTAAGCCTTGGTGCTGCTTATTCTCCCATGCTCTCTTATCCTAGAAGAACAAAGCAGGGCACTGGGGGCTAAAGATATTACCCATACTGCTATTGAGTGGCTCAAGTTCCACAAATCTCTTATTGCTGGGATCCCAAAAACATCAGCCTTCCCAGCACTCTCTCTCTCTCTTTCCTTTCCCAATTACCATCATTTGTTTTGATATTGTATGTAGATAGTTAGAGGTCAGCTTTCCCCCTCATGCCAGCTTTTGTTCTGGTATTTCAGCTATGTGCTCCAGGCATGGAGCTCCTCATTTTAAAATGGGCACACTCTCAAGGGCAACAAAGCACCAAGTCTAAGAAGTCTTCCAGATGACAGCGTGGCTTTTTGGGTTCTTTTGCTTTTTTTTTTTTTTTTTTAATAGCTGAGACCCCCTTGTTCTCACGACATCATTTAGAAAAGAGAGAGATTTTTAACTAAAAGTATTCCAATCCAGGTTTAACAGCGATTGTCAAAATTCTGGGATTTGCCCCGCCTCTCACTATAAAAATAGTATTTCTGCTCTTACTTTCTGCCATTATGGGAACTCCTATCATGTAAGGAGGGGGATTCTATTGTGAAATATTCAGGAGTATTCCCTGTTTTTCCACCACTTTCCAGGGATACTTGTCTTCATTTTATACAGGCTTCCTCAGCCGCCTCTCCTTTTCTCTTTCCTGCTATCTTCAACCTGTTCAGTATTTGAGAACAATTCAGGATTAGCTGCAGAGGAAATTTCCTCTTGTTCTCTGGGACAGGCCAGCTTCAAGTACGCCCAGGGCCAATTCAGCAATTTCTTTTCCTCGTTATTCCAAAGCATCTCCACTGAGCTGTGCCAGTTGGAGTCATGTCGATCTGCCAGCATCTCACAGGAAATTCCTACCTACAGGTAGCCCTCATTATATTACTAATTCATCTTTATATCTTTAAGTCTAGGTTTAGATCATGCATCATACCTGTATGATGAACAGGTATTTCTTCATCCAAGTATTTGGGTATGGCTAGTCTAGACAAAAGAAGGACTAGGGGCAGTGGTGGGATTCAGCTGGTTTGCACCACTTCGGCAGAATCAATAGCTAATTTTTTGTTGCCCAGGCCCAGAATGGACTTCCAGAAGCGGCAGCCAGACAGAGAACCGGTTGTTCACATATTTGAATCCCACCACTGACTAGGGGGAACATGATAGCATTATTCCAGTATTTGAGAGGCTGCCACAAAGAGGAAGGGGGTCAACTTATTTTCCAAAGCACCAGAAGGCAAAACAAGAAACAGTGGATGGAAACTAATCAAGGACAGACGTAACCTGGAACTAAGGAGAAACTTCCTAACAGTGAGGACAGTTAACCAGTGGAACAGCTTCCCTTCAGAAGTTGTGGGTGCTTCATCACTGGAGGTTTTTAAGAAGACACTGGATAGTCACTTCTATGAAATGGTATAGGGTCTCCTGCTTGAGCAGGGGGTTGGACTAGAAGACTTCCAAGGTCCCTTCCAGCTCTATTCTGATTAATTAATGATTAATTCTGCAACCACTCAGTCTAATGGTTTTATGAGCTTCTTTTTTGAGGTGGTATAGAGCTAGGCTTGCTGCTCATTCTGCTGGGTGGAACCTTGGACTTCTGCCTCAAAATCCTACCAGGCGGAAGTATTGTTGCAAAGTCTGGCTTTCAAACACTGCCTAGAAGTTCACCTAAATGCTGAGTGTTGTTTTGTTGGTCTTCACAGGTAGTCCAAATAGACCAGAAGCTGAATCTCATCACAGATTTGCTGCACCGCCTGCTTTCCAGCCAGCAAGGAAACCAAAACAGCACCAAAGCATCTCCCAGGAATGATGTCGACTCCAGCCTACCTCCCAGCAGCGCTCTCCCAACCTATGAACAGCTAACAGTTGCAAGGGCCTTGCAAGACGATGGTTCCTGATGCCTCAGAGATTTGTTCCCTTTCATTAAATTGACACTTATGAATCTCAACAGGGGCTGGGGACAAATTTAAACTCAGAATCGGCCATACAAGCATGACACGTTACTTTTAAGCTAATTTTACTATCCTCTCAACATGTTGTTCCAAAGAGAATAATTCAGACAACTACCAAACTTTAAAACCCACACTGTGTTGTCATTCTTTATTCATGTGATGCATTCTTGAGCTCTAATTTCTTTGTGTGTTTGTGTGTGTGTGTGTGTTTAAATAATTCTGCTACAATCAATCATGGCATTAAAAGAGTACAGGTAGTCCTCGATTTACCACCACAACTGGGACCAGAATTTCTGTTGCTAAGGAAGATGGTTGTAAAGCGAATCATGCCTGATATTACGACATTTTGCCGGAGTTGTTAAGTGAATCATTGCAGTTGTTAAGTGAATCCTGCAGTCATTAAGCAAACCCAGTTTCCCCATTGAATTTTCTTGTTAGAAACCAGCTGGAAAAGTCACAAATGCAATCATATGACTCTAGAATACTGCAATCATAATAAATATATGCAGGTTGCTAAGTATCTGAATCATGATCACACGATGAGAATAAATGCAAGACTGGTCACAAGTCACTTTTTTCAGTGCCCCTGTTAGTTCAAACAAACACTAAACCAGGTGTCTTCAAGGTTGGCCCTTTTATGACTTGTGGACTTCAACTCCCAAAATTCCTCAGCTAGCATGCCTGGCTGAGGAATTCTGGGAATTGAAGTCCACAAGTCATAAAAGGGCCAAGCTTGAAGATCCCTGCACTAAACAAATGGTTGTAAGTCAAGGACTACCTGTAATTAGTCCAGATATTAGCAAAAAGACAGTCAGTGTATCTGCCCAGGGTATTCTGCTGTTACTGCTGCCATGAACATCATTCTGAAGTCTTGCACAATCATACACAATTGCAATAGTTTGAAAATTCCACAGCTTCGCTTGGCTAATTGCATCCTATGGCCCTTCAGTAAGAATAATACTTGAACTTAGTTATATCTGAATTCTGTTCCCGACTCTGCCGATAATGATATAGTTTTGCTCAATAGATTCCAAAAGAGAATGTACATAAATTGCCATCCTACAGACAGGCAAGAGCATATACACTGAATATTTTTTTCTCCCACACTCCATTGTTGATTCTACACAATATTGTGAAACCTACCACATTTAAAACAAATGTCTGCCTTTCTTCAGGGAAGAATCAGTGTTTTAATCAAAAACTGTATTGTTTGTAAAGGAAGATTTCTTTTGTATAATACTGTAATGGAATTGGGACTTTGAAATATTGAATAGGAACTTTTTAAAAATAGCAATTATATTGCTGCCAAATAATTTATATTCTGCAGTATTTATTACTATCCTGGGTATATTTGTCAGAAAGAGCTTTCAAAGTGCACAGCTTTATGTGTTGAAGTAGGTTAAGTTTATTTGTCAGTGTACTGCAATAAGTACAGGTCTAAAATAACTGGATCTTGTTGATTAGGAGTTTGAAAGTGATGCTTTGGGGAAATACAGCAGCTTTGAACTTTATATGAAAATGTACTGCCAAGTCAAATGCACAGTCATTCCTTTCTTTTCCTGGCACACTAATACATAATGACCAACAGTAATTTGTGAATATTGTTCATGCTAAGATATACAAGCTCTTCAGTTTGTTTGGTTATTGCAGAGAAGTTCTACACACTGAATGTGGAAATGGCTCTGCGTTCATCTGTTATATCCAAGCTGTTAAACAAATGGGAAGCAGGCATATCTTATATTTCTGCAGATCCTGTTCTGTTAATACAGTTGGCTCTTTTGTGGGGAAAAAAATCCATATGCAGGATGACAGCAAGAGCTATCCATGTTCTTATGCAGAGCAGATGCTGGAATTTAGGTCTCTGAAAATCTCAGTTGATATTTATTTTCTGTTTAAATCAGTTTTCTAGTTCCTTTGGGAAAAGGAATTTAAATTGTATGGCCAGGTATTATCAGGATCATAGATAGGATGTTCATATTGCCACTCCTCATCTCAAGCATAAATTGGCTCTCATACTCAGCTATGAATCACCAAGCACTAACTAATCTTTCTATGAGCATACATATTCCTGTTGGGATTCAGAAATCAAATAAAATTGGAGAAAGAGGGAGCTTTGTAATCCCAGGGGAGGGGGACAATCAGAACTGTATGAACTGACCAGTGGTGGGATTCAAATATGTGAACAACCGGTTCTCTGTGTGGATGCCGCTTCCAGAAGTCCATTCTGAGCCTGTGCAACAAAACATTAGCTACCAGTTCTACCGAACTGGTGCGAACTGGCTGACTCCCACAACTGGAACTGACACTGAGTTGTACAAACATCTCTATATAAGTTTTGTTTGTAGTTTACATGAGGAAAATGTTTCTTTGTCACATACAGGTCGTCTCAAATACACAACTTCATGTTTTGGTTCATAGGAATTTGAAACTACAATATTCAGAAGCTACAAGTGTGAAAAAGTTGGGATGACAATTACATCTAGGCTACCAAAAACATGGATGGCTACTAAAAACAGCAACAGAAAGACAGATACAATTCTAACCCTTTAAAGCTTCTAATCTTCTGTTTGGAAGTTTGCAGCCCAGATATTGTCACTATAGATGTAGGCTCTTATTCCGTTGACAATCCTTCATCTATCAGCCTTCCCTCAATGACAGATGAGCCTCTTAAGGACAGAAATCCTCTTCTAACTTGATACTTCTGTGTATTACTATGTATTACTGAAGAACAAGCATGGAAAGTGAGGTGTAGAAGTCTTAAAGGCTCTGGCCTATCTGTTTGGTAGCATTACCATCTATTCATGAAAATTAGATCTGTAAATTGCTGTATGGAGAAAAAAGTCATTGAAAATTCTATGTCCAAGGACAGCATGGCAACCTGAATAGTATTAAATACTAAGTGCACAATTATAGCAACAGAGCTGCAGATAACTAAATGCTTTCCAAAATGTAGTTCTTTAAAAGCCACATATTATTATGAGTTTTATTTGGAGATGTTAGCATTCCTCTAATTCACATTGATGCCACTGAAAATACTTTTTTTTTTTGCTACCTGTGCCTATAATATTTCCATTCTTTCTTAAAGACAGGTAAATATAGGACATTTTAATGATCATATATTATTTGATACTAATTGGAAGTTTTTAGTTTGAATGTATAAGATTCAGAAGGAACTCTTTTGCATAGAATAACATTTTGAATTTTTCCCTTATATGGAAACAAATATTGAAGGATGCAAGTAAAGGCAGAACTCAAACCAAACCTCTTTTGCCGTAACTCCTGTCCTAATAATTAGAAAACAAAATACTTATATCTTAGATAATTTAAGCCTTTTAAGTATCGATGATCTTATTTGTTTCAGATATTGGTGGGAGGAGGTAACAGGGAAGAATTGTGAAGTACTTTCTCAGGGTTTTTTGTTCCATATAACTTTACACAACTAGAGATTCAAAAAGAGGACACCATAACTGGATAATACCATTGCACTTACCAAAAGCCCAAACTGTAGCAAATTCGACCATCTGTTCCTGCTGCATTTCAATGTAAATTCATAGAAATAGCCAGGTTACCACTGCACAATGTTTGTTACCTAAGCAATCTCTGGTTTTATGAATTAGCGTGAAACACATTCAGGATCAAAGGATGAGTTTTTATTATTTACATGTCTCACTGAAATGAAGAATTTGTATATGCTGTTTCTCTAATAGTCTGTCTAATGCTACAGCTTATTTCCAATTGTGGCCATGCAGATGCTATTAAGAATCCCACAAGGGGCCATTCTTTGTCATTCACCCAAATTATAACTTTCAGTTATCCAAAAACTGTATTTATTTCTTCTTGTTTGTCTAATTGCCTTTTAAAATATGCAAAATAAGAGCCATCATCACTGCTGGTGGAAAAAAGTTCAGAATTCATAATTGTGGAATCCATGGCCAACAAAAGAATTCGACCTATTAAAACGAATCCTGTCGGCCTCTACTGTGCTCTTGAGCAAATCTAGGTCTATTTCAGTGGGACTTGTGCAGCAGAATTTCCAGGTTGTATCCTATGTCCCAAATCTATTGTGCTCTGGTACCCCAAACAGTTCCCCCAAATCCACTGCCTGTGGCAATCCAGTCACTTTGCTTCATCTGTGCAACAAAAGATACACTTCATAGCTTTTCATTCTTCATTGTACGCATTTCATTGTCTCCTTCCAGATAGCAAAGCATCTTCTAATCCTCCTTAAATGGAATTTTAAATATATTAGAATTATCTACTCTTCCAGTGTACAGTACATACATTTTTAAGGTTGTACAAACTTTTTAAAAATGTAAATGGGAATTATTTCAGGGCATTATATTTTATAAGAAATCAAAGGAGAACTGTTAAGATTTTCAATCTATTTTTTTAAAAATAATGTTCACTATTGTAATTTTAAGTTGTTAATTTCTTAATAAAATATAGGACAGGAATTGTACTTTCATTTAGTCTGAATTTCATGCAAGAGTAAATGAGCTTTAAAAATGGGATAAGCATCACATAAATGCAATTGCAATATAAATAACAAAACAAAGATTTATTCTATGTGTATTTGAAGTGCTGCAATAAACCAGCAACACAATTATGTTGCAATCCAATATACGATTCATATATTTTATTAGAGATGTCACTCAAAAGTATCTGCATTTTGCACCTTTGATCCAATTGACCACTAGGGACATTAGATGTAGACATAGCAACCAAGGGCCTTGTTCTATTCTTAATACCTGCTTTGTTCCACTGAACAGATTTTTAGGCTCTCCCTTTCAGCCTGACTCCTGTAGGAATGATAAAGTACTGTACACCTTCCTTCTGCTTTCCTTTGACTAGAGGACAGAAAGTTCTATTGAAGCATGTAATTTTTTTAAAACCTGTGTCTAACAACTTAATATTTAAAGACTGGAGAATAAATTGGAGAATTCAAACCACAGTTACCTCAAGAATTTCTATATGCAATCAATGTGACCAAAAGCACAAAAGGTAGCAAAATACAGAAGGTTGGTATCATTTTTAGCATCAGAACATCATACATCCAAGACTATTGTATAAGCCCTATGTGTTTTAATAAAATGTCTTTTCCTTAGCTCCATGGAACACACAAAAAACATAGGGTCTATATAGCCATACAGTAGTAGAAAAAGAACTTTGCAGACTACAACTCAGTTACTGCCAGCCAATAGCCATGATTATTTCTTTTTTTTTTCCCATCTTGGCATCGGGCAACCAGCTATTTGTACCTGGGATTATTACAACAAGCTATATGTACTTGGGATTAGTGCTTCTTATAGTCAGAGAGTTAAGTAGATGATTAATAAACTGATGGGTGGACTCATGACTGGAAAGTTTTCAGAGAGTGGAAAGTTGCAGAAGGCTGGGATAACATCTGGTTAGAGTAGTTGGAGTTGAAAGAATGGCAGCAATGCAAGCAGGAGATGGCTGACCCATCACAAGATCCATTACAGACCCTCACTTGACACACTCACACCTGAAGCCGTTATAAGCAGAAGAACACTGACATCCCCTAAACTCTGCTGAAGATCTTACCTAGCCTGGTAATGAAACGTTCAGAAACCAACTCAAACTACCGAACTGCTGGCAACTGGCAGTCAGCAGAAGTAACCGGCAGTACTGCATTTCTAACCACTGCGCCACCACAGCTCTTTGTATTCATTTATATCATTTTCTTAACAATGTCATTTATGATAATGAAGAAATGTAACCACTTTATCAGGTCTGCTTTGGAGGCAATGAAATTGTCTGAATAGAAATGTTATCTATTGCATCCAAGTCTGTTATGTAGGGAGCTATTAAATCAAAATTTACTATATTGACTTGGGTCCCAAACTGAGTATTCTTCTAATGCAAATTTATAGTCTAGGTTTTATCTCTTATTTGTTCTGTTCTTTGATTTGGAGCCTGGATTCTGAGTTTCTGTTCCATCAATGAACAGTCTTACATTTGCAGGAAGGAATTTTCTATTTATTGCAAATAGAAAAGCAATAAGGTATAATTTCTGTCAGTCCCCCTACCTCCAGCAAATCCAGCTCTACCTCCCACACTACGCCAAAAGGTGTGCGCATACAACATGAACTAAACATAATTTACAGAATTAATTTTATGGAACCACAAACTAGCCAAGCATATTTTAATTTAGTGTGGTATGCAGACTTATCCAGAACCCTCCCCTTCACCCTTCCTCTGGGGCAGATTTTTGATAACACAAGGATTTCAGAAAGAAGGGGCTTAAAAAAAACCCCTTCTCCCTCACTACATTCAGCCAGCCGAAATATCCCCTT